CTGGGATCTCACTGGGAGCATTGGGATCACTGGGATCTCACTGGGATCACTGGGATCTCACTGGGATCTCACTGGGATCTCACTGGGATCACTGGGATCTCACTGGGAGCACTGGGATCTCACTGGGATCTCACTGGGAGCACAGGGATCTCACTGGGATCTCACTGGGATTTAGCGGTGTGTTGTGGGATCTTGTGGGCAAAGCAGGATCCGCCGGGACCGGCCGGGCCCCGCCATGACCCCGCGGTTCCCCCGCAGGCGCGGCCGCGGGGATGGCGAAGCTGCTGGTGCCGCTGGTGGTGCTGGGGGCCGTGTCCGGGGCGGGGGTCCCGGTGTCGCCGCCGTCGCCGCGGTGCCCCCCGCGCTGCCTGTGCCCCGCGGCCGCGCCCAGCCCCACGCTGCTGTGCGCTCGCACCGGGCTGCTGGCCGTGCCGCCCAGCCTGGACCGCGGCGCCGTGGAGCTGCGCCTGGCCGACAACTTCATCGGTGCCGTGGGCCGTGCCGACTTCGCCAACATGAGCAGCCTGGTGCACCTGACGCTGTCGCGGAACGGGCTGCGCCGCCTGGCCCCCGGCGCCTTCGCCGACCTGCGCGCCCTGCGAGCGCTGCACCTGGACGGCAACCGGCTGCCGGCGCTGAGCGGGCCGCAGCTGCGCGGGCTGGCCAGCCTGCGCCACCTCATCCTGGCCAACAACCAGCTGGCCGCCATCGACGCCGCCGCCTTCGCCGCCTTCGCCGCCACCGTGGAGGACCTGGACCTGTCGCACAACAACCTCCCGGCGCTGCCCTGGGACGCCGTGGCCGCCATGGGCAGCCTGGCCACGCTGACCCTGGACCACAACCTGCTGGAGCGGGTGCCGGCCGGTGCCGTGGCACGGCTGCCACGCCTGGCTCGGCTGGACCTGACGGCCAACCGGCTGCGGGCGCTGCCGCCGGTGCCAGGGCCGCCAGGGCCGGCGCTGGCGGCTGGGGGGAACCCCTTGCACTGCAACTGCGAATTGCTGTGGCTGCGCCGCGTGGCTCAGCCGGGCCGCCTGGAGACCTGCGCCACGCCGGCGCCGCTGGCGGGGCGCCTGCTGGGCGCCGTGCCCGAGGAGGAGCTGACCTGCCGGGCCCCCGCCGTCACCGCCGCGGCCGCGCACCCGCCCGCGGTCACCGAGGGGCAGCCGCTGCGCCTGGGCTGCGCCGCCGTCGGGGACCCGCCGCCCGCGCTGCACTGGCTGGGCCCCGACGGGCGCGTGGTGCAGAATGGCTCCCGGCGCTCGGTGGGCGCCGACGGCTCCCTGGAGCTCCGCGTGGCCACCCTGAGGGACCACGGCGGCTTCACCTGCGTGGCCGCCAATGCCGCGGGCGAGGCGGCCGCGCGCGTCGACGTCGTGGTGGTGCCGCTGCCAGTGCCGCGGGGACGGGACGGGGACGGGGAGGCCGCGGCTGCTGAGCCAGGGCCGGGACCCTCGGATATGGCCCAAGCGGGCGTCAATGACACCTGGGGGGGGCCCGGGGAGCGGCGGGTGGTGGCGGCGGAGGTGACGGGGTCCTCGGCGCGCATCCGGTGGCTGCCGCAGCGCCACGTGCCCGGCGTGCGCATGGTGCAGATCCAGTACAACAGCTCGGCCGACGATGCCCTCGTCTACAGGTGGGCGCCCGGGGGTGTCCCCGGGGGGGCTGGGGCGGGTCTGGGGGCGGCTCCAGTGGGTTTTGGGGAGATGTGTGGTGCTCCGGGGGGGCTCCGCTGGGTTTTGAGGGTCTCTGCGGGGCTCCAGGGGGTTCTGGGAAGGGTCTGGGGTGTCCTCGGGGAGGCTCAAGTGGGTTTGACGCAGTGATGGGGAGGTTGGGGGGCTTCAAGTGGATTTTGGGTGGTCCGGGGGGGGGTTGTGTGTCCCTGAGAGTTGTGGGGGAGGATGTTCAGGTGGGTATTGGGGGGTCCTGGGGGGGCTCTGAGGGGATGTGGGAGATGTCAGGGGAATTCTGTATCTCTGGGGGGCTTTAGGGGTACCCCGGTGAGGTTCTAGGGGCGCTCAGGGGCGTCCTGGGGGTCTCTGGGGAGTGTTCGAGGTGTCTGGGGGGATCCTGGCACTCTGGCACGTCTTCGAGGGGTCCTGGGCGGGTTTTCGGCTTCCTGCGGAGGGGGGTGCGGGGGTCTCGCCCCTCCCCCGACTCCCCTCGCCCCCTCCCCAGGTTGTTGCCCCCCTCCAGCCGCACCTTCGTGCTGCGGGACCTGGCCCCGGGCCGCCAGTACGAGCTCTGCGTGTCCGTGCTGCGTGTGGTCGGGGACCCCCCGGCCGCCCCCCGCCCGCTCGGCTGCGTCTCCTTCGCCACGGCCGCCGCTCCGCCGGGCTGCGCCGCGCCGCCGCGGCCCCACTTCTTGGGGGGCACCGTCATCATCGTCATCGGCGCCGCCATCGCCGCCTCCGTGCTCGTCTTCATCCTCATCCTCACGGCGCGCTGGAAGGCGGCGGCGGGGGCGCGGCGCCCCCCACCCGCCCTCACCAGCGTCTGCTCGCAGACCAACGGCGGCCCCCGGCCCGCCGAGACCCCCGAGCTGCCGTCGCTGCCCCCGCTGCCCCCGGCGGCAGCCGGCGGGGCGCGGGGGCTGTTCCCCAGCCACAGCTACCCCCGGCGGGCGCGGCCGCGGCGCCACGGGTCCCTGCCGCGGCTGGACGCGCCCGAGGGGAGCCCCCTGGGACCCCCCCTGCGCCCCTCGTTCGGCAGCACCCACTGGATGCTGGAGAGCACCGTGTGAGGGGGGGCACGGCGGGAGTTGCCCCCCCGGCCCCCTCTCGGACCCCTCCTCGGCAGCACCCACTGGAGCCCCCCCGGGATCTTCCTGGGTGGGGGGCGGCGGTGGGACCCCAGCTCGTGGGGGGGCGGGGGGGTCCAGGGAGCGCCAAACCTCGCCCGGGTGGCCCCCCCGGACCCGTTTGGGATCCCCCGTGGGTGCCACCGGGAGTCCGCCAGGTGACCCGCCCCGCCCTGGGGGCACCTGTATGCAAACCTTTCCCCCCAAAATCCCGCGTGGGGACCCCCGACATGCGCGGGCACCGCCGCACGCGTGGGGACCGTGACAGGGGCGCCCCCGCGACGGGGGGGCCCCGGAGCCGGAAAAAGCTGTGGCTCCCCCCACGCGTGTCCCCCACCCCCCCCGCCCCTCGAGATGCGCACTTGGGACTTGCGTGTGCGCCCCAAAATTTGTGTGCCCCCCACTCCCGCCCCACGCGCGTGCCCGGCCCGCCCCCCCCGCGGTGCCTTCGGCCGGGCCGGGGGGGCCCCGCGCACGCCCCCGACATCTCTGCACAGATGACACGAGACCCGCAGCCCCCCCACCAAAAACCCCCCCACGCGGGGGAGGGTGGGGGGCAAAAGGGGGACCCTCCCGATGCCTGGGGACCCCCCCGTGTGTCCCTCCCGTGGCCTCTGCCCCCCCCAAACTCGACCCGGGGGTTCCTATCTGGCTGGTCTGGATAACCCTGGGGGGGCGCCCCCAGCCCCCCCATTTCCCTCCCAGCCCCATTTCCCCCCCCCCCCACCAAAATTCCTCAGCTCCTCCCCATCTCCCCCCCCTCCCAAAACGCCGCCCCCCCACCAGCCGCCCCCCTCGGGCCCTCGCAGTGTTTAACACGAGTTTTTACATTAAAAACCTGTGGCCCCCCCGGGGCAGAAACGCGAGTGTGAATGGGGGGGGTGGGAGCTCGGAGGGGACGGGGGTCAGCCTCACTTTGGGGCAGGACTCTGACTGGGGGGATCCCCTCTGTCTTTTGGGGGGGGGTCCCTGCCCGGGACAGGGGGTTTTATTTCCTGGGGGGCGTCCCAGCCCGGTACGAGCCCCCCCTGGCTCTCCCACCCCCCAACATCCCACAATGTGGGCAGGTCGGGGCTATGCTAATGAGGCAACAATCCCCGCCCCCCGTGGTTGCCATGGTGACCGTCTCAGCGAGGCAAGCTTGGGATCATGAATATGCAAACAAGGGGCGGAGCCCACCAGCAAAAGCCCTGGCTAATTATGCCCTCATTTGCATACAGAGCACCTGGTTCCTAGCCTGGCCTTGGGTCCTCCCCCCTGCCCAAGGCCGCAGCAAGGTTGGGGGCGCGGGGGGGTCACCTGTGTCCCTTCCCATGGGGGGAGGGGCAGACCTCGGGACCTCGCTCACCTGTGTCCCTTCCCGGGGAGCTGGCACACACCTGGCACCTGTGTCCCTTCCCGGGGAGCTGGCACACACCTGAGTCCCCTCCCAGGCGGGCCCCGCCTGGTGGCCTTGGGCCGGGCTATAACCGCGCGGCGAAGGCGCCGGTGAGGCCCGGGAGGTGACAGCCATGGCGTTGGCGCTGCTGGTGACTCTGGTGGCCGCGGTGGCTGCGCTGGGCCGGGGGGTGCAGGCCCAGTGCCCCACAGCGGCAGATCTGCGCCCCACCAACGGCACGCAGCTGTGCGCCCTGCTCTACGCCGACAACAGCCCCTACTACGACCAGTGCTGCGCTGGTGACGTGCTGGAGGTGCTGCCGGGCAGCGACATGCCCTACATGCCCCAGGGGTGGTCCGCCCGCGCCTCCTCCCTCGTGGTGGGCACCAGGTGCCAGCTCACCGTGTGGTCGCGCCGGGCCAAGGACGGCAACTCGCGGCACTTCGGTGCCGGTGCGGTGCCGCGGCTGCAGGAGCTGCGCCGGGGGCTCTTCGGGGACTGGAACAACGCCATCCGGGCCCTCTACTGCACCTGCGAGTGAGTGGCGGCGCGGGCGGGGCGACGGCAGGACCGGGGGTGAGAGCAGGCAGCGGAAGGTGCCGTGAGGCAACGCGGGTCAACGTGAGCCAGCACGGGTCAACACGAGCCGGCACGGGTCAACGTGAGCCAGCACAGGTCAACACGAGCCGGCACGGGTCAACGTGAGCCAGCACAGGTCAACACGAGCCAGCGCGGGTCAAGGCGAGCCAGCGCGGGTCAAGGCGAGCCAGCACACGTCGCTGCGAGTCATCACGGGCCAAGAGGAGTCAGTGTGGCTCGACCTGACTCAACGTGGGCCGAAGTGACCCTGAGCTGGCTGCGAGATGCCGACGTGAGCCAAGCTGAGCCGCCACAAGCCAGCGCAGGCCAAGACACGCCAAGGCGTGGCAGCGCTGGCCAAAGTCACCATCAGGGGCCAAGCCAAGCTGAGCTGGGCCAACGCGAGCCAACCCGGCCGAGCCATGGTGAGACCCCGTGCGTGCCGTGGGCCGCCGCAGCCCCCCGCCCCCTGTGCAGTCAATAAAGCCCTGAGGCAGCACCAGCTCCTGCCTGGGGGTCCTTTATTGGGGGGGGTCCCCGTGCCCCCTGCCCCCCAAAGAACCACACAGCACACGGGGGGTCCAAAAGGACACGTGTAATTTAGGGGGGGCCCGGTGTCCCCCCGGGGCACCCCCGTCCCGCGCAGTACAAAACCCGACCATATAAATATCGCTTTGTTAAAAAACAAAACACCCCTGGGGAGGGCAAGGGGGAGTTCCGGGGGGAAGGAACCAACAACAGCAAACAGGAAAAAAACCCCAAAATCAACAAAAAGGGGCGAGGGAGGCCCAGGGTGGGACGCACCCCGAATCAGTAGTGTGGTGTGGTGGGGAGAGGGGGGGCTGTAGTTTTGGGGAGCCCCTCGCATGGAGATCTAGGGGGGGGCCATACCCCAGTGCCCAAAGGGGGTAGAAAAGAGAGGGCTAAAAAAAAAAACAAAAAAAGGGGGAAATGCCCCAAATGGGTCCCAAAGGCAGAAGGGACCAGGATTAGCCCGTGCACCCCCAAATCTCTGGGATGACAGCCACCCCCCCCTTTCCCCCCCAAAATCTCTGCTGTGGGCTCCCCAGCTCAGTAGTACAGGTCGGGGGCCAGTGTCCCCCAGGAACATCCCAGTCCTGCTCCAGTTTGGGGGTGCAGCAGAGGAGGAGGAGCAGGAGGGGGCCGGGGGTCTCCCCCGGGGCAGGGGGGCTCTCACCGCAGCCGGTGCTGCCGCATGAGGGGCACGATGCAGGCGGGGGGGCCCGCGACGCCCAGGAAGGGGTGGCGGAGCAGCTCCGGGGCGCTCGCCCGCTGTGCCGGGTCCCGCACCAGCATCCGCTCCAGGAACCCCTTCAGGGATGGGGACACCTGGGGGGACAAGAGGGACGTGAGAAACACCCCCTGGGACTCCCCAGAAACGCGGGGGACTCCCCCAGAGTTACCTTGTGGCCGTTCTTGAGCCGGGGGGGAAGGTTGTCCCGGATCAGCTTCATGGCTTTGAGGGGGGGCTCGTTGAAATAAGGGGGTTCCCCATCCACCATCTCGATGACCATCACCCCCAGAGACCAGATGTCCACCTGGGAGGGGGGGATGGTCACCCCAAAAATGAGGAGGGGGTTGGGGGGAGCCCCTCAAATCCACTCCATGCCCCTCCTCCCAAATATACAGCATCCAGGATGGAGGGGTCGGGAGGGGAGGCCACTTGGAGCCCCTCAAACATACGCTGGGTACCCCCAAACCCACCCTGGGCAACCCTAAACCCATCCTGGGCACCCTCAAACCCATCCCAACCTCCCCACAAGACACCTCAAGGTGGCAGGGAAAGCAGATGAGCTTGGGGGCCCACATGCCCACGCCAAACCCCCCGAAACCCACCCTGAACACCCCCTAATGACCCCCAGGACCCCCTAAACTCCCCCGAGCCCACTGACCCACCTCTGGGCCGTAGGGCAGGCGTGAGATGAGCTCAGGGGCCATCCAGTACGGAGTCCCCACCAGGGACTTGCGCCGTGGCACGTCCTTGTTCACTTGGGCGCAGAAGCCGAAATCCGAGAGCTTCACCTGCAAGCGGGGCCGGGCTCAGGGTCAGGGCGGGATCCCAAAGGATCGTGGGGAGGTTTGGGGGAGATTTCTGGGCGTTCCTACCCGCCCGTCGTGCGTGAGGAGGATGGAGTCGCTCTTGATGTCGCGGTGGATGACGCCCTGGGCGTGCAGCACGGCGAGCGCCCGCAGCACCGAGCGGCACACGGCCGCGATCTGCTCCTCCGACATCCTGGGGACGGCACCCTGTCACCACCCTGCCGCCACCACCCTGTCCCCTCTGCCACCCATGCAAGCCCCGCTCCCCGAGGTCACCTGGTATGGGTGACGATGTCGGTCAGCGCGCCGCCCTCCAGGAACTCCATGACCACCCAGAGCTCATCGCCCACCAGGTAACTGTTGTACATCTCCACCACGTTCTCGTGCTGGTGGTCCCGCATGATCACCACCTGGGACGGGGGGAAACGTGGGGATGGGAGCCTGGGACTGTCCCCAGGGCATCGGGAGGTCCCTAGTGGGTCACCAAGAGGCTTTGGAGGGGCTTTGATGGGCTCTGAGGGATCCAAGGGGTTCCTGAGTGTCTCCGAATTCACTCCCTGAGGGTCCCCAAGGCTCTCAAGGGGTCTCCAGGGCTGCCCCCCCTCACCTCGTTGAAGAGCAGCTCCCGCCGCTGCTGCTTGCGCAGGTCCATCTTTTTGACGGCCACCAGCTTGCCGGAGCCGCGCACGGTGGCAATGCAGACGACGCCCGTGGAGCCCTCGCCGATCTTGATGAAGTTGTCCAGGTACGTGCGGGGGTCGCCGGGGTCCACCACCATCTGCAGCGCCGCCCGGAACTGCTCGTGGGACACGCGCTGGGGCCCCGCCCCCGGGGCGGGCGCGGGGCCGGGGGGACGCGGGGCCGGGGGCTCCGGGGCCGGGGGAGGTGGCTCCGGGGCTTTGGGGCGTGGGGGACCGGGGGCGTGGGAGGCACCAGGAGCGCCGGCAGGGACCGGCCCATTGGGGGTCCCCTCCTGCGGGCGTCCCGGGTGGTGCTCGGCCTGTGGGAACAGGGGAGAGGGGTGTCAGCCCCCGGAATTCCCGTGGGAATGTCGGGGGCCAGCACCAGGGCCTCCGGGCACAGGCCAGAAGGAAGGAGCAAGAGGAAGAGCAAGAGGAAGAGACGCTGGAGCCACAGATGCAGCACCTGGGACCAGATTCTGACTGGGACAAGGGAAGCTGCGAGGAAGAGGAGCAGAAGAGCTGCTTCCAAGGAAGAAGAGAAGAGGCAGAGCGAGGAAGAGGAAACTGTTTTGGTGCCAAGGACGCAGCACCGGCAGGGGAGGTGGTGGCCCCTGCACATCCCAGTTCTGGGAAGCTGCGAGGAAGAGGAGCAGCTTCTGAGGAAGAACAGGGCAAGCACAGTGAGGAGAAGGAAGAAGAAAAAGAAGAAGAGGAAACTGCTCCAGAGCCAAGGAAGTAACTGGGGAAGGAAGCTGCTGCTGATCCCAGTGAGCATGGGAAGCCATGAGGAAGAGGAGCAGAGAACCCACTCTGGAAGAGGAAGGAGAGCAGGAAGAGGAAGCGGAGGATGAGGAGAGGCCGGGGGACACCCCTTTACCTGGGCGCTGCCCCCCCGGCCGGGGTCGGTGTCGGCGCGGGGATAGGTGTGGAAGGGGCGTCCGGGCACCGTCTTCAGCCCCGCTCCGGGAGCGCCGGGAATGTCGGGGGGCCGCAGGTCGGGCCCCGAGAGCGGGCGCTGCTCGCGGGGCGGGGGCCGGGGGGGCCCCTCTCCGGCCGAGCTGGATTTGGGGCGGCCCCCAGGGGGATGGAGGTGAGGGTGAGGGTTGGGGGGCTCCCGCCCGGCCGCAGCTTTGGGCTCCTCCCGCTGCCGGGACTGAGGGGGGCTCGGCTCGGGGTCCCCGCGGCGGCTCTTGCCGGGCTCCGGGCGGGAGCGGGGGGGCCCCGGGGCCAGGCCGTTCTCCGGGGGGTGCCGGGAGGGGCAGGGGGGGCTGTCCTGGCGCAGGGAGTTGGAGCGGGACACAGACACGGCCGCCAGCTCGTCCAGGAGCCACGCCAGGGTCCTGTCCCGCACCCCGGGGGTCCCATCCCGGGTGCCTTTGGAGCCGCGCACGATGGGCTGCGGGAAGGGGGAAACACATGGGGGAAACGGGGGGAAAAAGGAAAAAAAGAAACAACAGAAAGATGACATGGAATGGCTGCAGGAAGATGGCAGGGGGGCAGAGGGGAGGGGGTTTGGTTTGGCTGGGGTGTCCCTCCGGGAAGAGTCCCAGAGCCCCAGACGATCCTGTGTGCTCCCCAGGGATTGGGGTCTAGCCTCGCTGGGAGGGTCCCAAAATATTGGGGCGGGGGGGGGGGTTTGATGGGGTGGGATTTGGGGGGGCATCAGAACTGAGGTAAGAATGGATGGATGTGGCAATGGGGAGGATGTGGGAATATGGGGGACTTTAACAACTGGGGACACACACAGTGGGGAAGAGATCAGGTGGGAAGGACTGCGAGTTCCCATGTGGTGGGCTGGCTCCAGGTGTGGGGAAGAGTCTCACCACACCTATCCTGGGGTACCCTGCCCCAAGACCTCCCAATTCCTCCCAGTTTGACCCCAAAGAGCATCCAGGACTCCAAGACCCCAAATTCCCCCAGCCCAGCGACTGAATGAGCCCCCGCCTCCCCGTTCCCTGACCCACGATCCCAAAAGCCCCATGTCCATGACTCCCCTAAATTGTCTTTTAGGGAGGTAGGAAAGGCAGGGGGACCCAGCTCCCACCTCCCTGACCCCCAGAATCCTACCAGTTTGGCTTTTTGAGCTCCAAGAGCAGCTGGCAACCCCTGACCTGCTCCATAACCCCTGAACACCAAAGAACCCCAAAATCCCCATGTTCCCAGACCCCCACACTGCGCCCAGCCCAGCCCCAAAGAGCACCCAGAACCCTGTTACCTCCTCCAAAACCCCAAACCCAGAACGGCCATGCTCTCCCCGCCCCACATCCCCCCCCCCCGAATTCCCAACGCTCCCGGCTCCCCGCACCTTGTGGGCCCCACGGATGGCGGTGATGCAGGCGGGGTCCACGAGGGGCTTGGGGCGGCGGGCGGACTCCTCGAGCAGCCCCTGCCACTGGCGGGGCAGCCCCGTGAAGCGCTGCTCCGAGGCGTCGTACCCCGTGTGCACCCGGTGCTCGAAGTTGGACGGCGCCGAGATCTCCACCCGCTTCTTCTTCTTGGAGAACATGGCCCGGGACGCGCTCCTGGCAACGGGATCGGGGCCCAGAACCCCAGGGTTACGGGGAGGGAAGCGGGGGCTGTCATCAGGAATGGCAACAGCCCCCAAAACCCAGCCCTGGGAATGGGAGCCGCCCCTGGAATCCGGCACCACAACGGGGAACGTCCCTGGGAACGGGACTGGCGCCCAAATCCCGCCACTGGAATCGAATGGAAACATTGGGAAGAAACGCCTTGGGATGGACGGGATCAGCCCCGAAAATCCCACTGTTGGAATGGCTTTTATCCACTCCCCTCCAGCATCCCCCACTTTTATCTGGTTACTCCCCATTTTTCCCCCAAGTCCAAACTTGGAAACACCAGGGGCACCAGAAATTCCCACTGGGAAATGGGAGAAATCCATTAACCCAACCAGAACCAGCAAACAGATTTAAAACACCCCAAAAAAACACAAAAAAATCTGCTTTTCCTGGGATCTCAGCGCCAGGATCAGTGCTCTGGGGCAGGATCCGAGGGTTTTGCTAATTTCCATGGTTTTCTGCAGTTTTCAGGCCAAGAACAAGCTGAGCTGGGAAGGTTTTGGGAGTGTGATCCCAATGGGGGCATGAATCCCTCTGGGAATGGCCCCAAAATCCCATGGATCTTGGGTGGGTCCATTTTCCCCACTTTCACTGCTTTTCTCAGTGGCAATTTTCCCATTTCCTCCTATTTTTCTCCAGCTCCTCGGCTCAATCCCATTTTCCAGACTCCAGAATCCCACTGCCTCCAAGGTTTTCTCACTATTTTTCCCAATCTTTGAGGTTTTCTCCTTTAATCAATGATCCATCACAAAGCTTTTCTCCTCCTCCACTTCAACTCCAGCCAAAAACGGTCAGAATTTTGTATATTCTCCATTTTTCCTGCTCATCCCTCCTTCCACCTTCCTAGGACACTGCTGGGATCCGCTCCAGATTGCAAAATCCCACTTCCAGATGGAAAATTCTCCTGGTTTGGGGAAATCGATGCTAAATTTTGAGTGGAGGATTAAGATCTGCTGCATCTGGGCTTTTCCCGTTGCAAGTTCCATGGGAAATATCCAAGGATGGTCCAGGTCAGCCAGGATGTCAGGGAGGTGCAGGATCTGGTGCGTCTGACACCAAATCCACAGGATTTCACCCCAAAACCCCTCTTTTTTTTCAGATGGTTGGGGGGAAAACCGGCAGCACTTGGCAGGGGCAGAGAGGTCCTGAAGAATTCCAGAGGGATTGATGAGGGCCAGGAGGGGTGAACTTATTCCTCAGCCTTTCCCAGGTTGCATTCCTGGGATCCCAGCAGGGTTTAATTAGTTACCAATTAACAAGGAACTGAGTACATACTGGGCGGAATAATCTCTGTTTTCCCTAAAATTCCCAACAAAATCCCACAAATTCCCTCCAATCAGTGACATTTAGGCTGTGTCCTGGTGGGAATCATGCTGGCAGCTTTGGGATGAAAAAGAAAGGGAAAAGTAAAGGGAAGAGAATGTGCACAGAGGTACTTCACGCCTTCCCATAAAGCCCAAATCCAGGAAAATCAGATGTTCCTGGGCAGGAGAGAATCCAGGACGGGACTGAAATGGGATTTTCAGCAAACTTCAGGATTTTCACACTGGAGCTGGGTGAATTTCAGGAAAACAAATGCCCAGCGTGGCACCACAGCATTCCAGACACAGAGTTTGGCTTCATCCCGCTTCCCAAATTCCAGTATTTCCATTTCTCCCCCCACTGTGTGGAACTGGTCCATCCATCCCATCTCTCCTCTTTTTGCCCCAAACTGCTCCACTTTCCCCCAAGATTCCAAGCGGGCCCCCTCGGAACCAGAGAGTCCTGGGAAGATGGGGAGAGCTCCCAGGGAGAGCTGGGCTTGGAGCCTTCCCTTTGAGAAAATTCCCTGTGAGAAAATTCCACCAGACAAAAAACTTACCTCGTATTCCCACCGCTTATTCCTGGATTTTTTTTTTTTTTCCCCCTCTAAAGTTCCCTGAATCCCAAACTCATGCTGGGTTTGATCCTTTTGGGAAGAAGAGAGAAGAGCCAAAGTCTCTGCTGGAAAATCCCTGAGCTGGATTTTTCCTCTTGGGGAATTATTTTCCTGATGTCAGCCGGAACAGGAAGAGACTCCAAACCCTCCAAATCCACATCTTCCATGAAAAATTTCCAAATTTCCACCTCCGGGGCTCCCCCCCGCTGGGAATTCGGGATCCTCGGGAAAGCAGCAAGAGGGACAGAGCAAAGCGTCCCGAAAACTCCCGGAATTCCGGCGGAATGGGTGAAAGCGCGTTTTCCTGATTCGCACGGCTGATCCCGATGATCCCTGGAGCTCTGGAATCCCAGCCCAGATCCTGCTGGGAACAGGTCGGGGCTGCTCCAAGGGGTTGTTTTCCTTAAAAAAAAAAAATAAACCGGAGCGGGAAGCGGCGCCGGGCGGTGCCGAACGGTATTCCAGGTGGGAATCCTGGGATTTGATCCCCCGGGTCGGAACGTTGGGATTCCCCGCAAAGGGGTCACGATCCCGGGAAAGCGAGGCCGGCCGGGAAAGGCGAGTTGGACTGGCCCAGCTGGATCTGCCGGAGGAGGAGGAGGAGGAGGAGGAGGAGGAGGAGGAGGAGGAGGAGGAGGAAGAGGAGAAGTGTGGCTTTTGCTCAGAGGAATCCCGGAATTCCAGGAATCTGGCGACCCACCAGGAGCCTCCAAAGCTCAGGCGAAGAGGAAAAAATCCGGGAAGGGACCCGGAAGATCTGAACTCCTGGGAAAAGGGAACGGAGCGCTCAAAGCTTCCGTGACCACTGGGAAAAGCAGGACGGGAGGGAAGGGGGAGAGCAGGGAAAGGAGGAAGGAGAAAAGGAGAAGCAAGGAAGGAGAGCAGAAGGGGGAAAGTGTAAAAGAAAGAGGAAAAAGAGGAATTCTGGCGGAATTCAGCTCTTTTCCTGCAGCAGGAAGTTTCCCCGGAGCTGGACATGCAGGGAGAGGGAGGGAGGAACATCGGGAATCTCCGGCTCGGGGGCAAAGGAAGGGCCAATTAACAACGATCCAATTAATCAGTAACGATCCCGTCCATCCATAATGATCCAGGTCACCAAAATCCAGGAAAATCCCTCCTAGGGCTGGTTCAGGAGCACCTCCAGAAAACCCAGACATTCCTCCCAGAGCTCCAGGGAAGCCAGGGTTTATCCCACGGGAAACGAACAAATTAAAAGATTAATTAAAGCCACAGGCAGGAATATCCTTGGAATTTCTTCCTGGAAACTCGGAGAAATTCCTGCTTGTCCTGCAGCTGTTAACGAGATGTTGGTGTCCAAATTCCCGTCTTTTAGCCCCAAAACCCAGCAGGGAATGGTGGGAGGGGGAAGTCTTTGGCCATTTCCAAATGACTGCTGGATCTTTTCCACATCTGGATACTTCCCATAAACCAAATTTCCACTTATTTCCAAGCCGACCACGGGTCAATCCCTCTATCTCACCATTGCTCATCTGAAAATTCACTAAATTACAGGGAAAATGCAACGAAAGCACAAATCCAGAGGCTTTTTTGGAATTTTTTTCTCCTTTTCAGTTGAGGAATGGCGATGGGAACACCACAAAAAAACAGTGGGGATGACAATTCCCTTCCCACTGCGCCAAAACTTGGGGGGAAACGCTGTTTTTGGGGGAGATAGGGCATTTCATTTTAGGGGACACACTGTTTTTGAGGAGTTTTAGGGCATTTCATTTTAGGGGAAATGCTGTTTTTGAGGAGTTAGGGCATTTCTGAGGAATTCCAGTGCCCCTCTGCCTTGGAGTTCCTGACCCAAATCCACAGGGAAAAAATCCATCGCAGGGCTCTGGGGCTGGGTAGGAGCGTGGGGAGGAGACCCCCATATCCCCGTGGGATAAGAAACTCGGGGAATTAATTCCGGATTCGCTTCCTACCTTCCGCGAAGGGAAAACGGTCCTGTCTCAGCTCCGCGTTCCAGGTGCTCCGGTAAGAGCGCTGCACGGGAAGAACGGGATTCCCTCAGGAGCAGCCCGGACCTCCCCTTTTGGGGTGTTTTTGGGGCGGGGGGCGGCTGGATCCATATCCCGATGCTCCCCAGGAATTCCAGGCTTTCCCAGCGCTGCTGCTGCCGCCCCTCCAGGGATCTGGGACGCCTCCAAATGCCCCCAAGCCCACCCCCAGCCGCCCTCCTCCATCACCAAGTGTCTCCTCGGCCCTGGGGGGGTCTCCAGAGCCCGGATCCCCCCGGAATTCCCGAATCCCTCCCAAGCCCCCTCAGGCCTCACTCAGCCGCCGCCGCCGCGGCCATGTTGGGATCCAGCCACATCCGGGTCCTCCCACGTCCGCGTCGCCGCGACGACAGGCCACGCCCACGAGGGGCGGGGCCACGGACGGGAGGGGCGTGGCGAGCCAAATGTGGCCAATGAGCAAAGGGCGAGGAGCCATACGGGCAAATGGGCGTGGCATAGGGCGGGGATAGTTTGAATATGGGCGGGGAATCGGCTTTGGGGCGGGGTTTAGCGGAGGAGGGGCGTGGCACAACGCGGAAGTTGCTGCTCAGAGGGCGGGTCTCCAGCGACCAGAGCGTCATTAACCAATCACCGCACGAATCTCGGAGATTGGCATCTCCCCTGCCCAATCGCAGCGCGGTGCGCTCGGATCTGGGTAAGATGGCGGCACCCTGAGGGGAACGTGCGGGCTCCGGTCCCGCCGCTCCCCGGTGCCCTCCCCAGGCCGCCCTGACCGTCCCTTCTCCCCTCAGAGCCTCGTAGATGTCGCTCCGCGCCGCGCTTCGGGCCGCCGCCTCGCTGGCGCGCAGCAGTGCGTAAATGCCCCTTCCTCCCCCAAAACGCGCCGCCCCCCCAGCACCCCCTGACCTCTCTCCGTGTCCCCTCCGCAGCTCCGGGGCTGCTCCTCCCGCCGCCGCCGCCCCGTCCTCCCTCGGCCGGCATGGCCACGCTGAACCAAATGCACCGGCAGGGCCGCCCCGCGCCCCCTCCCCGCAAAGCGGGGCCCACGCTGGGCCGGCCGCAGATCAAGGGCGTGGTGCTGAAGAACCTGATCCGGAAGCCCAAGAAACCCAACTCGGCCAACCGCCGGTGCGTGCGGGTGCGGCTCAGCACCGGCCGCGAGGTGATCGCCTTCGTGCCCGGTGAGGGCCACAACCTGCAGGAGCACCACATGGTGCTGGTGCAGGGCGGGCGCACCCAGGACCTGCCCGGCGTCAAACTCACCGTGGTGCGCGGAAAGTTCGACTGTGCCCACGTGCAGGCCAAGAAATGAACGGGGCCCGCAGCCTGGGGTTCCCGGGAATGCGCCCGGCCCGGGATGAGGCTCCCCAGGACCCTCAGGGGAAGCCTCAGGTGGGGTGACCCCAAAAACCTCCCCAGAATCACCCAAAAGCCAGCCCAACCTCAGGGTCACCCACGTGCTGGCCCTGGGGTTTTTATGGATTAAAATTTGGTGGTGATGTGGGTTGTGGTGTGGAGTTGTGGTGGGGGTACCCGGAAGGGTCGTGGGGTACTGGGGAGGGTTGTGGTGGAACTGTGAGGGTTGTGGGGGTACTGGGAAGGGTTGTGGTGGAACTGGGGAGGCTCGTGGGGGTACTGGAGGCACTCGGAAGGGGCCTTTGGGCGGTGGAAGGAGGCCAGGGGCACTGGGAATAACTTGGAGAGAGATCTGGGGACCTGGGTGGAGGAGTTCAGGGCACTGGGGGGTCACTAGGGTGTCACTGGGGTCACCAGGGTGTCACGGAGGGGGGGTCACGGGGGGGTCACCGGGGTCACCGAACCCACAGCGCTGCGGGACTGAGGCCGGGGGGCGTGGCCTGGATGGGAAGGGGCGTGGCCAAAGCTGCCGGCCCCGCCTGCGGCTCCTCCTGCACGTGACCGGCGCCCAAGATGGCGGCGCGCAGGGCGCTGCTGGCGGCGGCGGCGGCGGCGGGCGGGCGGCGCGGGGCCGCGGGGGCCGCTGCCGGCCCGGGTCCCGCTCCCGCTCCCGGTGCCGGTGCCGGGCGGAGCCGCCTGTACGAGCACGCGCGGGAGGGGCTGAGCGCGCGGCCGCAGCTGGACGTGACCGCGCTGAGCGAGCGCGACCTGGAGCAGCGGCGCGGGCCGCTGGGGGGCGCTGCGCTGCGGGAGATCGTGAGTGGCGGGAGCGGCGGAGGGCGGGACCTGAGGGGCGGGGCCGGCCCCCGCCTGAGCCCCGCGCCCCCCGCCGCGCCCTCAGGTGCGGACGTGGTCCCGGCTGGGGAAGGTCCGCGATGGCATCGCACGGCTGGAGGCGGAGAAGGGCCGTGTGGCACAGGGGGTCCGGGACATCATGGTGAGACCCCACCCCGGGAACCCTCAGTCCCCCTGAGACCCCCAAAGTCCCCGCTGGGACCCCACTCAGTCCCCCCTGAGACCCCCAAAGTCCCCGCTGGGACCCCACTCAGTCCCCCCTGAGACCCCCAAAGTCCCGATGGGTCCCCACTCATTCCTCCCTAGGACCCCCAAACTCCCTCACCGCCCCACTCAGTCCCCCTGAGACCCCCAAAGTCCCTGCTGGGACCCCACTCAGTCCCCCCTGAGACCCCCAAAGTCCCC